GTTGAAAATCAAGAAACTTTATGCTGCTATTAGGCCTCAAGTGCGTAAGGTTCCTTGGAAGAGAGTTATTTGTCATAACTTAGCAACTCCTAAAAGTGTTTTTATCTTGTGGCTAGATTTGTGGAATAGGCTTGTCACTAAGGATAGGTTACTTCAATGGCACATTTCTTGTGATCCAAGGTGTTTCTTGTGCTTGAATAGCAATGAAAGTGTTCAACACTTATTTTTTGATTGTGAATGCTCTAGACAGGTTTGAAGCAAGGTGTTGGGTATCTTACATGTTTCCAAGCCCGTTCAGCAGTTTAGTGATGAGGTTTATTTGCTGAAGAAAATCTGAAGAAGTTCCAGATTGAAAAACAAAGTGATCCAGGTGGCCTTCACTGAAACAGTTTATGGTATTTGGATTCAGAGGAATGCAGTTCTGTTTACTGGTTGTTGCAAATCTGTTGATGCTCTAGTTAGGGATATTGTCTTTCATTCAGTCAGTAGAATCCCGGCGGGAAGCAAATATTTGATCGTTTAGGGCTTCTCCTGTTTCTTGGTCTTCTGTTGTTGTTGCTGGTTCTTGCTGATTTCTGGTTCCTAACTTTTGAAATCTGATTTCTGGTTTTTTTGGGGTTGTTGCTATAGCTGTTTTGCTTTGGTTGCTCTTGTGGCTCTATTTTTGGTGTTGGTTTCTGCTGTTGCTTCTACTTTCTTGTTCTTGCTGAATTTCAGTTGTAGTTGTTGTTTCTCTTGCTGCTGCTGACTGGTTTGCTTTGCTGTATGCTCTGGTTCTGCTCTGATCAGCAGCTGTCTGTGGTAGGAGTTGTGCTGCAGCTACTGGCTGCAACTGCTGATGTCTGCTGTCTACCTACCCTGCTGTACTACTGCTGTGGCTGTTGCTGGCTGCTCTGCTTTCTGTCTGCTCTTGCTGTGCTGGTCAGCAGTTGTTGCTGAGGGCTGTTCTGTGCAGCAGCTTCTGCTGTTGGTGTTTGCTGCTGCTGCCCTGCTGCTCTGTTGCTGCTGCTGTTGACTTACTGTACTGCTGCTCCTCAGTTGCTGTTGCTTTTTGTTGTACCCTGCTGGCTATGTTGCTGCTGTGATGTTTAGCTGCTGGTGTTGCTGCTATTGTTAGAAAGAACCGATTTAATCAATTTGCTTAAAGAATTCATCGATGTATTTGCTTGGTCATATGAAGATATGCAAGGCATTAATAGAGAAATAGCTCAACACACTATACCGCTAATTCCAGGAATGAAACCTGTAAAACAAAAGTTGCCTCGAATGAAACCCGAAGTAGCTCTTAAAATAAAAGAAGTTCAAAAACAAATAACTGCAAGTTTTATCAAGGTATCCAAATACCCCGAATGGGTCGCCAACATCATCCCAGTTCCGAAAAAGGATGAAAGGGTAAGAATGTGTGTCGACTATCGAGATCTAAATAAGGCAAGTCCAAAGGACAACTTCCCTTTACCACACATCGATATTCGGGTAGATAACACAACGAATCATGCACTTCTCTCGTTCATGGAAGGATACGCGGGGTACAATCAAATTCTCATGGCAGAAGAAGACATGGAGAAAACAACCTTCATAAAACCATGGGGTACTTACTGCTACACGGTAATGCCATTCGGGTTGAAAAACGCGGGTGCTACTTACCAACGAGCAGCGATTGCTTTGCTCCATGACATGATGCACAAAGAAGTTAAGGTATATGTGGACGATATGATTGTGAAGTCAAAAGATCGCCCAGGCCATTAAATAGCCTTGAGAAAATTCTTCGAAAGGCTAAGAAAATACAACATGAGGTTGAACCCATCCAAGTGTGCTTTTGGAGTCACCTCAGGCAAGCTTTTGGGTATGTCATAAGCTCTAGAGGAATAGAGATAGACCCAAACAAGATCAAGGAAATCATGTCAATGCCACCGCCCAAAACCGAGAAGCAAATTCGAGGATTTATTGGTCGTTTGCAATACATAAGCAGGTTCATATCAAAATTGACGACAATATGTGAACCAATTTTCAAAAAGCTTAAAAAATGTACCAGTAATATGGGATGACGAGTGTCAAAAAGCCTTTGAAATGATTAAAGCCTATCTCACAAATCCTCCCATATTGGCACCAACACTTCCGGGAATACCTCTTAGGTTGTACTTGACAGTCACCAAAGAAACAATGGGAGCCATGCTAGCACAAGTAGAAGGCAAAGAAAATTCAATCTACTATCTAAGTAAAAATATGCTCGAGTATGAGGTACGCTATACACCACTTGAGAAATTGTGCCTCGCATTGGTGTGGGCCACAACCAAGTTAAGACATTACATGCTCGTGCATACAGTCTTTGTAGTTTCCCGATTGGATCGACTCAAGTATTTATTCGAGAAATCTACACTCAATGGGCGCATATCAAGATGGATAGTCAACTTATCCCAATTTGACGTAAGATTCATGCCCCAAAAAGCTATCAAAGGATATGTGGTTTCGGATTTTCTAGCGGACTTTCCAATAGAAGACTCGACGCCAATACATGACAATGAATTTCCAGACGAAGACTTGATTGTCACGGAGGATGATACTTGGACCTTATACTTGGATGGAGCCTCAAACCAAAAAGGATGTGGCGTTGGAATATTACTAGTTTCACCTAAAGAAGAGCTTGTTCCAATCTCCATGAAGCTTGATTTTGACGTTACCAATAACGCTGCTGAATACGAAGCATGCATGGTAGGCCTTGAAACGGCTTTGGCATTAGGAGTGAAAAAATTACGAATATTCGGAGACTCTTCATTGATCATCAATCAGATCTCTAAGAGATTGAAAGTAAGGAGCGAAAGTCTAGCCCCTTACCAAACTTATCTGCAAACTCTCACTAATCAGTTAGAGAAGGTGGAATACACGTATCTACCTATAGAAGAAAATCAATTTGCTGATGCCTTAGCAAGACTAGCCTCAATGGTTAGGATTCCTACGGAAATCGAGAAAATGCCTCTAACTATAGAAAAAAGGCATAAACCGTGGTATATGGATATACTCAACTATGTCACCAAACGAGAATACCCTCCCCATGCAGACAAAAGAGCAAAATGAGCATTAAGACTCTTGGCTTCCCAATACGTACTCATAGACAACGAGTTACACAAAAGGGTACCTAAGGGTCGAGCTCTCTTATGTGTAGGAAAAAAAAGATGCTCAAAGAGCAATGAGGACAGTCCACGAAAGAATTTGTGGAACTCACGTAAATGGCAAAATGCTAGTCCAAAAGATAATGCGAGAAGGATACTATTGGACTACCATGAACAAGGATTTCCATCAATACGTAAAAAGATGCCCCAAGTGCCAAATTTACGCCAATCTATAACATGTTCCTCCATCTCTACTCTACACCTACACTTCGTCGTGGCCATTCTCTACATGGGGAATCGACATTATTGGAAAAATCACTCCCCCAGGAACAGGAGGTCACGAATATATTCTAGTAGCAATCGATTACTTCACAAAGTGGTTCGAAGCAAAATCATACGCTACAGTCACTGCAAAACATGTAGCACTCTTTATCGAAAGAAGTATCATTTGTCAATATGGAGTCCCACATGAAATGATAAGTGACAATGGAACTCACTTTCAAGCCGAGTGTGAAGAATTGTTACAAAAATATGGCATTCAACATCATCATTTTTCTCCTTATAGACCTCAGGCAAACGGAGCAATCGAGGCGGCTAATAAAAATTTTAAGACTATCATCGAGAAAATGATAGAAAATTACAAGGATTGGCCTGACAAACTCCACTTCGCATTGTGGGGTTATCGCGCGTCAATTCGCACATCAACAGGAAATACGCCATTTCCTTTGGCTTATGGAATGGATGTCGTACAACCTGTAGAGCTAGAGATACCATCTCTACGCATTGCATTAGAAATAAAACTCAATGAAGTTTAATGGATTAGGGCGAGATATAAGGAGCTAATTCTACTTGACGAAAAACGACTAGAAGCTCTACATCATACTCAATGCTATCAAACTCGTATGACTAGACATTTTAATAAGAAGCTCAAGACAAGAAACATCAAAGTAGAAGACTTGGTGTTAAAAGAATTAAAGAAAAATGTTTTAGATCCAAGGGGAAAAATTTAACCTAACTGGTCCGGATCCTAAAATTTCAAAACAATGCTATCAGGAGGTGCAGCAAAATTAACTGATATGGATGGCAATGAGTTCTCGAACATGACAAATCTTGACCAACTTAAAAAGTACTACCCATAATAACTTGAGTAGGATACTCAAGAGAGCTACGTTTGGCTAGATTTCTTAAGAAAGGATACGTAGGCATTCCTTTATGGGTGCGGCCACTTTATTTTTTAAAACCTCGCATCCCAGACTCAATAATAAACTCGACAGAAAATCGACAAAACATCAGCGTTGCAAAAACAATCCCGGCGCCAGCCGATGGACCTTAGCGCCAGATGACAATGTGTGTCACCTGACGCCAGACTGCCGGAGCTGGCGCCATTCGTAAAAGCGCTGCGCCATTTTTCTGCAAAAACCCTGGGAATATTTCTGTGTTTTTCGAAAAAATTTCGACTTCCGTACTCGAAAAAATTTCTAGAAAATTAAATTTTTAGTTTTCATTGCTTTAATAAATTAAATTTAAAGTAGATGATTTAATTAAAAAGCTGCAATTTCATTAATAAAATAAACTAAAAATTACATTATTGATGGAATTTTAATAAAGCTTAAATAAATTAACTTTAAATTAAAAACTAAGTCTAATAATTGAAAGTTAAGCAATGTTTTAATCTTTTTTCTCTTTCTTTGCTCTCTTCCAATTTTTATCTGTATCCTCTTCTTCATCCATAACTTTAGCTAGTAGGCATCCTTTAGAAGACCTACATTCAATTTTGGAGTAAATAGTTTCTCTCTTAGCTAGGATTCCTTGTTTCTTCTCTACCCAAGCCTTCTTCTCTAAAGTATCAGCTTTTCTCTTTCCTTTATCCTTCGTAGAGCTTTTCTTCCTAGGCATTGTAGGTGTTTTGAACTCAACCTTTTCCCCCAAGCGTTCCTTAACGGGAATCACTTTGTCACTTAAACGACTCTTCACATCGGTTTTACTCTGATTTTTCTTCATGTCCTTTGAAGGTTTCTTCAGAAGCCACTTTTTCACATCATTGGGCAAGGAGGAACCTTTTGGGTAATCACTTCCCATAAAGGTCTAGCACTCCAATAAACATTTGCAGGAGCCTGACCTGCAGTAATGTTTTAAAACTAAAAGTAAATAAATAAGTGTAAAAAGTAAACAATTTTATTTTTTTGGTAGAAAACAAATAAAACATCTATAGATTAATTTCAACTAATTAATAAATAAACCTACGTGGGAACCGAACCCACATTCTTTGCACTTTTGCACAATGCTCTACCAATTGAGCTATTAGGTTAGTGTTATCAATCAATGTTACTCAAAAGTAAATCAAACGATCTCAAAGTAAATCTATGGCCACATTAGTTAATAATTCAACCCACATTAGTTAAACCGATACTATGCCTTCCATCTGAGATATATCCCTTGCCATAAAGTCACAAATCAAAACAGCGTACTTCACTCAACCTAATTTAATGCAGCTAATAAAACTAACAGATGCAATGAAATGAGAAGATTACAAGAAATCACATTACAGAATAAGATTACTAGCCATTATGCAGCCTTGGCACTATGCATCATATGACAGAAGTAGATAAAAAAAATAATAAAAAGTAGATCAAAAAGTAGATTACTTAGCCCGTTTCGCTCAACTTCAAGAACTCCCAACAAACATTTACAGCAGCAGCAGTGTAGCAGAAGTAGCATAGCAGCAGCAGGCGGTAAAGTAGAAGTAGCACAACAGCAGCAGGCGGTAGAGCAGAAATTAGCACAGCAGCCTTGTCAAGCCAAAATTAGAAGCTGCAGTAGCAAGCCATGGCAGGGCAGCAACTACGTGGGATTCAAAAGTAAATAAAATAAATTACTCAAAAGTGAATAAAATAATCTCAAAAGTAAATAATATAAACGATTAATTGGGTTTAAAGCCCTCTATGTATCAGTAAACCGAAAAACTTTGGGGTTGTCATATTTTTTCTAGATTGGCTGAGGACCTCAGCTCTATTACTACCTCCAAATATCTCTAATGTAAATCAACTAAGAGAGAAATATATGAGTTGAGGTTAAAGTGAAGGTTTTGACATTAAAAGTTAATAAATTAATGTAAAAAGTAAATAATTTTATATTTTTGAAGAGAACTACTTAAACAAGCATTCATATTACAAAATAACTCATAAGTAAACAAAAAATTCTCAAAAGTAAATAAAAAGGTCTATATAGTATATGTAAATAAAAGAGTGTACACCTAGAAACTACCCACAATTGGGTACTAGTGTAAATGCAAGAACACAAAATTTCATCAGGATACCTTAAGAATTTTGCTTCCACTTATGTTAATTTCATAGCTTTGTACTGAACATCAGATCATGTCCAAATTCTATCGGCACCAACACCACAGTAGTATCTGCACCCTAGAAATGCCAAATTCACATTCATAAATAAACATTATTCTATATAAGAACAAATCTTATATAAAAGAAATGTAGGTGAAATGGGGGTAAATAACAGGCATTGGGACAAATATAAGCTCCTACAGGACATCCCAAGTGCTAATTAACAATTTGTTAAATCAGCATGTGTTTTAGCTCTATTCCAAACCTGTAGAAGGATATTTGAAAAATACGATATTATATTGTCAAGCAATTTAAAATCCTATCCCTACATACTTTTGCAATATGAATGCTTCTACCTAAAGCATAAATGGGGGTCATCTTTATGGTGAAGATACTCTGGCAAACTAAGAAAGTTACTAAAACTCAAAATTATATTATATTATATCAAAAGTTAATCAAAGTATGCCAAAAGTAAGCCAAAATTACTCAAATGTAATGATAATTATTAATCATTCATTAGAAAGGAAGGATTTATGTTTATCTCTAACAATTTATCAGACTACATAGTGATATCAATGGTACTTTAATTTAACAAAAAACCTATAATGGTCTAAGAAAATCAACAATAGCTAGTTGTCAATCAAGTGCGAACATCAACAGTAGCATTAGGCTTTCATTAAGTCCCCACTGTTTTAACTTTAAATATTAGCAGCAACCTTGGCAGGGCAGCAACCTTGGCAAGACAGCAAGACTCAACCACTTCTCGGATTTAGAACTTCTCCATGCAACTTCATTACATACACCTCATTCCCCTTTGATTGCAACAAAGTATAACACATTATGAAACATCAACACCACAAAATAATGTATAAAACTCAATCATTACAATCAACTCAAAAGTAAATAATTCAAGCTCAAAAGTAAATAATTCAAGCTCAAAAGTAAATAATTCAAGCTCAAAAGTAACACCTCATGAAAACAAAATCCCACTTGTTTAACACCTCATTCCCCCTTAACCAGATTTAGGTGAACATTCAAAAACAAGTAAAAAAAATGCATCAGATTATGAAAAAAACTAAAACTAAAATCGATTAAAAAGCAACAAAATAGAATAAGAAACAAAAACCCTGACAAAATAAAATACAATAATAATCAAATTGAGTAAACAACAACCATCAAATAGTAATCGAAAAAGACAGTCGAACAAAAACAAAGCAAAACCTAATTATATAAAAATATAAAATCAATTATAAAAACAAAAGAATCTGTAAAATTTACCTCTCCATGATGATCGATTAACATAAATCGAGTAGCAAACTCGAAGAATTGGAACTAAATTGAAGATATCATACAGCGAAATCCAAAAAATCGAACAGCGAAATCGAACTATCAATTGCCGTAGAGAGCTTTCAAGAGAAGAGAGAGAAACTAAGAAGAAGAGAGCGAAAAAAAAAAAAAAAAACAGAAGCGAAAAAATTAGAACAAAGGTCATTCATTGACTAAAATTACGGAAATACCCTTAATGAAGCGGGTGAACTATAGGCCGTCAGATGAATCTCAATGAACGATCCAGATGAGTTCCTAGTTCTTATTATAGGACTTGGTTTTCACATGATCCCAATTATATATATATATTTATTTATTTTTTTAGCTCACCAACTGTCAATTGTTCTTCTCATGTTGTTGTCCTTTGCATGGTGTTATTTTGCTATTGCATATGTTAATCCACACACTTCTAATCCTCCAGAAATGAAGTTGATAGTCTTGAAGAAAGCATGCTGGTGGTGGCGATAGTCCTCCTGATGGCCGGTTTTTCTTTTATTGTTTTATTTTGGTTTATTTGTCATGAGCTAGTGCCACACATTCGTATATGGTATGTTTGATGTTAGAATTAAAATCGCACCATTTTTATTTATCCTTCCTTTCACGTAGTCTAGCAGTCCTTCCGAGCCAATGAATAATATATATTACCCATTTAGTTAAGCTTTAGATAATATGTACAGGGTTAATGTTAAATCATGCTTATGCAATTTAGGAGTGGTTCAAGATCTTGTATCTAATATGAGAATTTTTCTTCATTCTACGACATTGGTGGTTTCTTCACCAAAACTGGGTCACTAGTATTACATGGTTTAAATTTGTTATCCTTTATGGGATTAAAAATTCTACAATTTCATTCTTTAAAAATGACACCATAATTTGCTGATGTAGCAAAATCTGATTGGCCGTATTTTGTATTTTTATTATTAATTTGAATTATTTTTAATGTCCATAATGTATTAAAATTGTATTCTTTTTTGTATTCTTTTAATACATGTATTTTTTTTAGAAATACATATTTATAAATTATGAAAAACTTTTTTATAATAAAAATTAATTTTCGAATTTATAATTATAATTATAAATCATAAAATTAAATTCATTCATCATTTACGTCAAAATTTTTCATCATCGTTCATCATCGATCATCATCACTCATCATTGTTTATCGTTCATCGTTCATCATCGCTCATCATCGTTCATCATCGCTCATCGTTCATCATTCATCATCGTTCATCCATCAATCATACTAGGCGTGTCCATAATTCGGATAAAAACCAAAATCCAATCCAAACCGAATTATCAATTCAGATCGGATCCGAACTTTAAATCGGATCAGATCGGATTGAGATTTTTTGGAAATTCGGATTTTTGGATTGGATCGGATTGACCCTAATTGGATCCAATCCAAACCGAAAACCGAATTGTAAAATTAAGCTTGTACAAATATGAATTTATGTATGTTTTGAAGTTTAGCTCAAATACTTACTACTACATAAAAATAAATTAGAGAGACTTTGTATTAGTTGAACTATTTATTTTAATCATGATTTTGAAGACTTTTATTTATAGTAATGCTTTATTTTTATAATTGTATTAGGAGCTAAAAAATAATGTATTATAATTTGGACTTTCTGATCGGATCCAAATAACCAAATTTTAATTCGGATTGGATCAAGATAGAAATTCGGATCGGATTGGATTGGAAAATTGAAAACCGAATTATATTTCGGATTGGATCAGATTTGGACTAAATCCAAACCGAAAACCGAATGGACACCCCTAAATCATACCTTAGATTAGCCCCCCATTCCCGAATTCAATGTTAATTGTCGATAATTTTGCATATCCCAGCTAAAATCGTGATAAAATTTCGAAAATAATTGTGTTTTTGCATTTAGTTTTTTGCACTTTTTGATTTTAGGTTTTCGTTCATACAAAAATCTCAACAACAATCGCATTTATAAGTATTTGCAAATGACGAAGTTTGGAATAAAATGGTTCGAAAATATGATGAGAGGAGGTACTATGGTGACTATTTTAATTAGGTATTGACCATAATAAGAGCAATCCTTGGAACAGCTAACTTGCGGAAGTACTATGGTGACTATTTTAATTAGGTATTGACCATAATACACATCAGTCATTACCGTTGTAATTATCTTTAAAACATTATTTAAAAAAGTTGGAAATTTGATTAACTATTTAATGCTCGTGAAAAATATAAAAAATGTAACTGACACTGATTCATAAGGGTATTTGATATTGAAGTCATAGGAAATTAGCAAAAAAAGATGTTTATATTTATGCCTAGTTGTAGGCATCTCTCGAAGTGCGCCTACGTTAAAGCATGTGTGAATATTCTTGGCACTCTTAGGAAGTAGGAATTGACATATACGATTAGGGACATGATTAGGGACAAGGAAAGTAGGGAGCCGCCAACAAGTTTTTAAGGAACTTGTAAACCGTTCACGGATCATAAAAAGGCAACCACGATAAGGGACAACGATAGGCAACAACGATTGACCCGTGAAGGTCACACCCCATTCATAATCCATGAGATTACTAACTCCATATGGTTCGGAACCACGAAAGGAGGATCAGGGATGATGGTACGAAGTGAGTCATGGAGTCACATTCGCCCGTATTGGTCTCTACTCGATTCTTATATTGAAAAGCATTCTTGTGATCTCAAAGGCATACAAACAAAATATTCAATTCGCTCCAAACTATTATTTAGCTAAATTGGTTGAATATTAATGCACACATTATTCTAAAATATTGGTGATTACTTCAATTAATAACAAGATTAAAAATGATCCTAAACCGGTCGTCCAAATTATCTTATTAGGCGTGATTTTCAATTACATATTCCCTTTAACAAGTAATATGGTGATCAATAAATAATATAGAACAAACATTAATATTGGAAGCAATTTAACCATAATTCCAACAATATAAAATCGTTAGAAAAATAATAGAAATAAAAGGAACATATTCTTACTTTGATTCTGTTTGTTTGCAGCTACAAAATAATAAACGAGTTAGTAACTTCAAGGAAACAATAATAAAACAATAATTAAATTAAATTAAAAAAGCAGAGTTGATTTGGGGCCAAACCCTCAAACAGTTCTACCTTTCATGCCTTGGCTTAAGGACAGACCCACGAGTAAAGTATGGACTCCTTTGAGCACTTGAAGAAGGAATTTTGAAATGAGAAGGGTAGGCTAGTGTTTAGGCTAAAGCATAAAAGAGAGAAAGATAAACTAGAGAATTAATTGATGCCTCGTACATCAGAAATGAGGGGGTATTTATAGAGAAAATGTGCTGAGGGAGCACACAGAACCCTAAAATGATAAAAACCCTAAAAAAGTATCCCGCGACACGACAAAATGTACCGTGACACGGAAAGTCCCACCGTCAGACGGGAAACATTCCCGTGACACGGTGCATTTTTGGTGTGATGCGGGAAATTTTCAGCAAACGGGGAAGAAAACGCGTTAAGGGTTTATGCGGAAAAGATACGGAAATTCTCGTGTCATGGAAGATTTCCCGTGTCACGGGAAATCCCACCGTCAGACGGGAAGGATTCCTGTGACACGGTGGGTACCTGTCGTGGCGCGGGAATTCCCAGCCTGCTTTTTCGTCTAAGTACATTTTAAACCCTAATTTCGTTCAGCATTTTAAGTGCCGATTGATAATTTCGGGCCATTTTCTGATTTATTATTATTTGGGCTAAAATTAGAAAATAATAAAATAAAATAAATAAAAGGTTTGGGCCAAAAATAAATAATAAAACAATAAAATAAAAAAGGTTTGGGCTAAAATTAAATAATAAGTTTGGGCTGAAATTAAAACTATGCTTTTACCAAACATTAAGACTAATCCATGGACTGTTCAAAAATATGAATTTAATCAAATACGATTTTTTAAGCACTCTCAGGATTAAATACTGAACCCGACCAATAGTGGTGGTGAAAGGTTGTTCATCATCGAATTTGGTTTTGGGGAGACATTTTTAAGTGTCTATACTAGTACAGAAGTGCACTTAGTTATACATGCACTAACCATAACTATAATAGGTAAATATCTAATGAATCCTTAAAACATAGATGTAAAAGTGTGTCTCAATTTGAGTACGTGCTTAGCCGGGATTAGCAGAAGTCAATTTGTTGATGATTTGAGGATTGTTATGCTTGCTGCAACATAGCTTCGTCAAATACCGTAATCGTTCTACACACATTTCGTCGGTCTGGACAATGACATAGGTAACAATGGGGTTATATATGATATTGTATAATCGTAGATAAATTCTCAACGATTAAATGTGAAGGGGTGTAAAAATTCCTACTGTGTAATTAATGTTGTGCATGGCTTCAATATCACCACATTCAATGTACTTCAAGACATACATTCCACAATCGTGACTGTACAACAATTCAAAACTTAACTAAAAATAAATCAATGAAGTTTAGATTCAATGAATAAAATCATTTTAGATAAAGATATACCTGTTTTGTTGTTTGTGACGAACTTCTACAATTGTATATGTAATTTTCGATTTTTTAAGATTCTTGAAAAATTGAGCCAATTTACCTCTCCTACAATCTGTGATAGCATATTCAATCTGTTCATTAATTTTAAAAAAATGTTAACAAAAAAAATATATAATTTACATATTTTAAAGCAAATAGTTACCATATGGTTATCAATAAGTATTATACTAGAAATTGTTAAAAAAAAAGGTAGTATGATAAGTGGTTTATTTGACCACTTATTGTGTAAATTTAAACCCGATTTTGCGATCATTTCCCCTCTTTCTAATCCAATTTTGAATGAAAATGTTTTGTCTCGGCTTTCCCCCTCTTGGTTTGTGTTTGTCCATGTTTTGCAGGTCTATGGACTCAATTAGGCAGGCTTTCGGTGCATGAATCGTGTTTAAGACAAGAGGATTGAGGATTGGAGAGGGCGCTCCAGGGGAGCGGGCATGCACCTCTCATGGAGCGGGCGCTCCTCGACTCTAGCTACGTTCTGCCCAAGTTCAGGTGCTGTTAGGAGCGGGCGTGCTCCTCACCAGGAGCGGGCGCTACTCCCTTTGAAGATTGAATCTGCCCATGCTGCTGGAACAGGGAAGCGGGCGTGCATCATGTGAGGAGCGGGCGTGCAGCCGAAAGGAGCGGGCGCTCCTCATTGTGGAGCGGGTGCTCCTCGCTGGGAATCCGTTTTCTTTTGACGGATTTCCCTATGTGTTTCGGGGAGTATAAATACTTCCCCTTTAGCTCATT